GGTGATGACTAGCTGCCTTCCCTCTAGTCTTACACTGCTAAATTAGGGACGGCTAGCGCAGATAGCCCTCGTGTAGCTTTGCGCGAAATTCCAAAACAAACAAACAAACAATAAAATGTCTAAAACAGAACTAGAGTTTCGTTAGCTACAGTGGGCACATATAGTCCACTGTGTAGCTTTGTGTTTTTTAATAATAACACAAACATAATGTCGATATTCCGATTAGTTGTATAGTCAGAATAATCAAAAATAGTAATAATTGGAAACTCTAATTTCGATTACTTTCTTGAGTCGTGACACTAATTATTCAAAGCCCTTAGTGTCTCAGCTGTAAGTCTGAAGACTTATAACACTAAAAGTTGGGTTTCATAACCCGGGATGGGCACAGCACAGATAACCCATTGTGTAGCTTTCTGATTATCAATAGACAAACAAGTAATCAATTACATAAGCTGAACAAATTTAAATTAATCGAAAATAATAGTGAAAACCTTAAATGCAATATTTCAATTGCTGAATTGTTTGAATAATCGTAAACCCTAATATTGATTTTTAATTATTTCGTAAGATTAATCGTAATTTTAGTTACTGAGTAGTTGAAATAATCGAAAACAACACTAATCACAAACTCCAATTTCGATTAGTAGATTATTTGCGTGATATTAATAGTAATTTCAGTTAATGGCTAGTTAGAATAATCAAAAGCAGTAATAAACGGAAACACTAATTTCGATTAGTTGATTATTTTTGTAACATTAATCGATTCACTGGTAATTTCGTTTGCTGGACAATTGGAAGAATTGAAAACAGTAATAATCGGAAACACTAATTTCGATTAGTTGATTATTTTCGTAACATTAATCGATTCACTGGTAATTTCGTTTGCTGAACAATTGTCTTATAACTTATAACTTTCACATGACATACATTGATAGGAAAGACATTTTTGAATGCATTTGTGTTTGTCAATCATAACTGGGACTTTGGTTAACAATAAGAAGTAGACACTACTGCAATTTCTTTAATACACATTATTCAGAGTAGTGGTACATAACAACATTAAAGGATAACAAGGGACTTTTTGGTTTTTCTAAGTTGTCCTATCCAACAAATTAAGTTAAGCACTAAAAAATTTAAAGCCAGCTTTTATCTTTCAAATATTTATTACACTTTCCCTTAACCTTCCTTAAATTAACTACATCTACTATATATGAAGGGAACACGTTCCATAAGCCAACCATCCTATTAGAAAAATAAAGATGTCTTAGCTGAAGATGACTCCTACCATGTAACAATTTAAATTCATGTCACCTAGTCTTACCATTATCACCATGAAATACGAAAAATGATGAGGTGTCAATACTAGAAAGAATTTCCCTTAACAATCTTAACCAACTGAATCAGATCCCCTCTAACTCTTCTTTTTTTTCAAAAGAAAACAAGTTCAGAGATCTTAATTTAACTTTGTATGACAACCTTCCCATTCCAGGAATCATCCTAGTAGCCCTCTTCTAGACCTTCCCCAAATACAATATATTTTCTAAGGCAAGGAGTCCAAGTCTGAACACAGTACTCAAAACGTGGCCTAACTAATAACCTATGCAATGACATTATAACCTCTTTAGACTTGTATTCAGTATTTCTGTAGGTACAACCTGAAATCCTATTTGTCCTGCCACTAGCAACAGCACATGGCTTAAGAGTCTGATCAACCAGAACACCAATATCTTATTCTTCCGTAACACTGTTATGGTTATTGCATGCCTATTTTGAACATTGAAGAATTTATTTCTAAAATTTTTTCCACATTTTATCAGTACCTCCAACTAATTCAATTGCCCAATTCACAATAGATAGTTCTTGTATAATCTCTTTAAGATTTGCTTTATTGAAATTTTGAACCAAAATCTTTATACCTTATCTCTATATGTATCAAAACATCAAATCAATGATCACTTGAATCCAGATGTTCTCCAGTCTTGTTCTCCAATCTTCACCCTATGAACCATTTCTTTATCATAAATGAACAATAAATCTAAAATAGCATTATTCCTTATAGGTTCTCTAACCAATTGGTGAAAAAAGTAATCCTGAATAGTTTCTAAAAAAACTTTCTCTCTCATAATTTGACTCTTAACATTTCCAAATCTGTGTCTGAAATTAAAATCTCCCATAATTATAACCCTATTAACAGTTGAATTCTTTATCTCACTGTACATTTTCTTGTTAATTTTGTCAGTTTCATCTTGTGATCTGTAATCAAATTCTAACTAGAAACCTTATTATAATCACTAACAGAAACCCAAGTAGATTCATCCTTATTACTATTAGTTTTGATATCCTCAACCTTAACAGGCTGTAACTCACATTTTACCTATAAAGACACTCCTCCTCCCCCTCTTTTTAGCACTCTATCCCTATTAAACAAATTATAATGCTGTATTTCAAAGAAGTTCCTGTCATCAAAATTGTCTACATTTAGCCAGGTTTTAGTTATTCCCATTATATCAAAATCGTTTGAATAACTGCTTTTCACAACTATTCTGCAAACATAACATGTCAAATAACAGAAAAAGAGAAGTGATATGAAATATAAAATACTTGTACTTTTTAGGTTGGTACCTAAAAGCTGCCTCTAATGGATTAAAATTATTGATGAAAGACATATTTCATGAAACCACTTCAGTATTGGGAATGTATTGTAAAAAATATTATTGAATAACTATTTTTGTTTCAGAAATTTGTGCAAAGCTTCACAAAGCTATCTGAGCTAGTCATCCATAATTTTTAACTGATAGACTAGAAGGAAATCAGCTAGTCAACAGCACCTACTGACAACTCTTGGGTAACACAAATCTAATACAGCACCTACTGCCAACTCTTGGGTGACAAAAATCTAATAGTGGGATTTGACCATTATTTTTATAATGCACTCATAAACCCAAAGTGATTTTCTATGATCTTTTTTGTCAATGTGCAGCTAACCCTCACCTTGATATTAATATAAGTATGTTAGTATGTGTGTAGCGTAGAGAGTGGTTATCACCTGTTGATAATATACTAGCTACAACCAAATTTACTTTCTGAAAATTTGTAAAGCAAAAGTTATTTCAAGAATATCAAATAAAAAATATAATATATATATGCTGTATATATCATTTTTGGCAATTCTAAGACTGTCGTTCAGTGTTAAAAATGTGGTATGGACTAAAATCTTTTGTTGTTGTTAAACTTTGAAATATCAAACATTATAAAAGCTGCATTTATTGTAATGAATCAAGCTGAAAACTTATCATGGTAACACTTTTTCAGTTTAATAATTGCAGTATGCAAGTTGCAGTATGCATTCAATGCAAGTTGTTTATAAGCCAATAGTAGATATAACTATATTAAGTATGTACATGATCCATTCTGCTTATATCCCACAGTGATGGTCAATATAATGAAACAGGCTGAAAAGCAATCAGTTATGACCAGATTTTAACTCAAGAACCTCTGAACTTTATCATCTGAATTGTCAAGGCTGTAACATCATGTTAATAACTTTCCACTTTGACCAGTCACCTGTGTATAATAACTGTTTATTTTAGGAAGATTCTGTTTTCTCTCTCTAGGCTTCCCTTATATAAATATTTATCTATTAGTATTACAAATTAAGGAATAGTTATTGTAATTTCAACAATATATATTTATGTATGGAGTAAACTTAGAAAGTTGTAGGGGTATTGGTTGTTAAAATAATAATATTTAGTTACATTTAAAAAATGTTTCATTTTTGTACAGATTTGATGAATCTTAACACAATCCATTACAAGTTTAATTAAAAGTTCAAAATTACCCTAGATTATGAATGAATTATTTTTCACATCTCTGAAATTTCATATTCATGAAGAAATAAGATAGTGTATAAAATATCATATACATGTGGTTAGGAATCAAAAAGTTATAAATTGTTACTAAAAAGCATTGAGAACTGCTGCAATAAACATTATGAAGTAGAGCAGCAGGTATAAATAAGGTGTCAATTAATTGTTGAAAATAGTTTATTTTGTAAATGTTCGCTTGAAACTAAGATAGATTACTTACAGGAGTGGTGTTATATCAGAATTTATTCATATAGATTAGATTTGTGCTGTTATTTGTACTACTGTACTTTTCCTGCAGGTTGAAACAGAGTTTCAACGTTATGACCAAAAATATCCTGTCATGGTATACATTCATGGAGGAGACTGGGACCATGGTAGTGCAAGCACATTCCCTGCACATATGTTGGTAGCTTCACAAGAAGTGGTAGTTGTCACCCTGAACTACCGACTAGGACCTCTAGGTATGATAGTAGGTTATAAAAGTTGTTCTACATACTGAACAATATTACATGCAATGAGATATTTATTCTAATTTCAAGAAAGTGCTTTTAAAAGAAATAAAGCTGAAGAACTTTTACTTGTGTCTTGTGAGTGACTCACTGTAATTTTGGCAAAAATTAAAGGTTTAGAATAGATATAAAATATTTTCACTAATTAAAAAAATTTCAACAAATTTTGTAATGCTTCTTTGTAACCTTTCAGGTTAGAAATTCAACTAGAAAACGTTGTTTGATTCTGTTGAAGTTGTTCATAACCATCAATTTTGAATAAAGTATTATTGATTTTACAATATTTGTAGTGTATTTGAATGGTGGAGGAAGGTACGAAATGATCAAAGCTCTGTTCTTGTAAGTGTTTAAGCAGAATTTCCAAACATAAATTTATTTTAGTAGAACAAGCATAAGATGACTAGGAATGGTACTTTTGTTGAGTATTTAAACTTTAAGTAAAAAATATTATTCCTTTCTTTTTCATAACATTTAATGATGCTTCATTAACGTTTAGCACCTAAATGTTCTTTTAGATACAGGTTGACACTAGTAAAGTCTAATGTGTTTGAGAATTAAAATTATATTTTACTTCAATAGTGAATTATTTTTATACATGAAAATGTATTTATTTTAATTTTGAATTAAAAAATTTTGTTGTAACATATTTATTAATGTTACAGGGTATTTTTTCTTGGTTTTAGACAAAAAAAAATTTAATATTACTCTTGAATGTGACATACATAGAGCTTCTTACAAATTTATGTAAATACACAAGCACTTTCAGATAAATTACAAACCTTCTTCTAGCTATTATAGATATAAACTCTGAATGAATACTGCTGTAACTCATGTAGATTCTTTCTCACTTATAGCATGGCAGCATCAGAATTCTTGAAGGTTCATTTATATTAAAAGTACAAAGTATTAAGCCAGAAATTATCAGTTTTTAATAGATAGTTGCACACTGGATGTTGAAATTCCATGGAGAAATGTACATGTCTATAATGAAAAGTGTTGATTTCTTGCATATAGTAAATACTGATATAATTTTCAAATTTTTGTAATTCATTGTATATGCGTGTCAGTTTTCTATTCTGCTACAAGTAATTTGATTATTCATTAATCAGGCTCTTACTGGTTGAAGTCAAAATTCACTGGTACTTTCATTTCAGATTACATTAAAAAGTACTAATTATAGAAATATGATGGATTGCAAACTAAAAAAAGAAAAAAATTCAGCCAGTTAATTTTTAAGATATCAAATGAGTATAACAATAAGTTGAAAGTTTATGATGGAGTCTTGATAAAATTTTTCACAATTTTATATTCATAGATCATGTATAATATTTTCTCATGACACATTGTAATACATACATTTCCACCTCTGATGTCAATGTGTTTGGGATTTATTGTTTAACACAGCACCAAAGACAGCAATCTTTTCCCTCCTTTGTAGGAAATAACTATATTCTAAATTTTTATCTTTTCAAATTATCTTATCAACTATAGAAAATGATTCAGTTAGTAACTCTGGGATGTTTTTTTTTAAGCCTGCTTATCTCACATTTCATTTTCTCAAATTTTTAGCAATATGTAAAATTGCCTCATCTCATTACTTTGGAATTTTTGGATTAGATTATAATTCGAAAATGACTCACTTATCACATTTTGGAAGTTTTGTAGCAAAATCACATAAAGTATTTCAATTAGAAGCTGTAGAATATTTTATAAGCTTCTTGGTGGTAAATGATTTGTTGAATAGATTATGTTGCTTAATCTATTTCAGGCTTCTTAGCAACAGCAGGTAATGCTTCAGCTGGAAACTATGGAATGTTGGATCAGGTTCTAGCAATTCAGTGGGTGTATGACTTTATAACACACTTTAATGGTGACAAGAACAGAATTACTCTCTTTGGCCCTGGAGCAGGAGCAGCAAGTGCAGGACTCCATGCAATATCTCCACGGACAAGAGGTGAGTTTCATTATGGCTACTGATACACTTAGAGCTTTGACGTTGTTCACTGTGACCTGTAGAGGTGAGTTCATTATGGCTACTGATACACTTAGAGCTTTGACGTTTTCACTGTGACCTGTAGAGGCGAGTTCATTATGGCAACTGATACACCTAGAGCTTTGACGTTGTACACTGTGACCTGTAGATTTATAGATGCCAAATGATTTCAATGCATGTGAAAAACGAATTTGAAAATTTCCCCTAAGATTCTAAGGTTGGCTGCTATGCTACAAAATGAAACTAGGTTAATGCAACAACTTTTTCATGTATATGTGAGGTTCAACATATATGCCTCATCAATTAAAAATAATTTTGTGAAATGGTATTAGCTACAGTACTGTACTGTACTTTTATCGTTTGATATGACATTCATACCTTGGTATGACTGACAACTAACTTTGAGTACTCTAACAAGCTGTGTGATGAAAAATGTTTGTTTGAGTAATACGCAGACTGTTTCATGATATTCAGAAATATTAGATGAACCGATGATACTAAAACAACTCACAGTTCTCTGATATGCTTGACCATACATGACATGCAACCATAATGAACTAATACACATTATTTCAGCATATTTGGCATTTGCAGTGGTCATCTCACTGCAAATTCTTCTTCACTTCTTATCACATGTCCAAACTATCTAAGTCTTGTTTCTCTTGCTTTTTTCTGTGATCTTATAAATCCCAACTCTTTTCCTAATGTCATCACTCAGTATTTTATCTATCAATGATACTTCCAACATCCATCTTAACATTCTCATCTCAGATTTTTCTAAAATACCCTCCTCTTTATTTCTTATGGCCCAAGTTTCTGCTTCACAAAGCAGAACTGGCCTAACTGCTGATTTGAAAATTTTTGCTCTTAGGCTTCAGCAGTATTTTTTGTCAAGAATCACCCCTGAGACTTCCCTCCATTTATTCTATCAAGGCTCTTACACTGTCCTTTACTTTCACTTTGCAGCCTCCTTCCGCACTAATTTTAGAGCCTAGATAAATAAATTTATTTGACTGTTTCATATCAAAGTTGTTACTACCTTTTATCAGCAACTCTTCTCTTCACCCTCTACTGCTTACCCTCCATTTTTCCAGTATTTACTTTTAACCCACCTCTTTCTAGATTTTCCTGTACCTATTCTGCAACCCTTCCTCTGTCTCAGCTGTTATAACCAAATCACCCACAAACAAGAGGTTTCAAGCATTCCTTTCCATGCCTCTTCACTAAAAGCATCTATCTCTATCAAAAACAGGATAGAGTGCTGATACTTGATGTTGACTTACTTTTACTTTGAACTCTTTGGTTCTTCATTGTCATATTCTTACTGCTGTCTTTGCTCCAACATACATTGTTTTCACTGTCCTCACCAACTCTAGAATACCCTTCTTCCTGGGATGCCAGTAAATATTTTCTTACAATACCTATCATATTCTTTTTCCAAACCCACTAAGCACAAATAGAGCTTCTTCTTCCCCTCTAAACACTTTTCCTGCAGTTGCTTGGCTATGGATATAGCATTCACTGTTCCCTTCCCAAGCATAAAAACACACAACATTTCATCAATATTTGCATATTCTCTTAACCAATATTCTACTACCATTTCAAACACTTTTAAAATATATTGTTACGCCTCCATTCGTTAGTTAATTTTCCGTAAAAATTCTTTCCGAAGAAACTTTACCAGTCCTTTCTTAAATAAAACTGGTTTATTCTTTCTGAATACAACTTCGTGATACACTTAATTTCCAGTCGCACTATAACAAACGCTATAATTCACAACGAACGTCTCACGTGCTCGACTCAACTGTCAATTACACATTACATTGTTGCCGTCACATCTTATATATAAAAGAATACTGAAATCTAGTAAACGCTCGAGCATTCAGGAACCTTCGAGAATATGACGTCTATCTAGCATCACGTTATCTCCGCTGTCGTAATAATATTCAGTTAGATTAATTCCTCTATAATTTTCACAGTTGAGCAAGTAACTTTATTATTTGTATATAGGGGCCAGTATGCTTTTCTGCCAATCTGAAGGTATTTTCTTCCCAAATTTCCTGCAGAAGCTGCCCTACGCATTCAATGCCCTCTTATTCCAAAGCCTTTAACATTTTCGTCACTACTCCTGATGGACCACTTGCTTTCCCAAGTTTAATTTTGTCAATGGCTCTCTTCACTTCCAACTTTTTGACTTCTTTCACTGGAGCTTCCACAACTGTCACTTCTTCCAAAACCCCTCTCTCATTTTCTTCATTCCTCATTCTTTTCCATCTTTTCTTAATATTCTTTTCATCAACTTGAATATAACCCTGTTTGTTCTTTATGATATTTATTTCTCCAACATCTACTTTAGTTTGTTTTCTTGATTTTGCTATTCTATATATATTCCTTGTTCTCCTTTCGATGTTCCCAGATTTTCATGACAATCTCTCCAGGCTGTGCTTTTTGCTTTGATAACGACTTTCTTTGCTTTCTTCTTGCATTCTCCATATCTAGTTCTTGGATATTCATCTTCATTATTTGTCATTTCAATAAATGCCCCTCTCTTTTATTTTATTGCTTCTTGCACTTCTTCATTCCACTACCATCATGTCTATCTCTCTTGAGGCTTTCCTCCTTTTGTGACAACAAAAACTTTAGTTGCTGCTTCCATCTGTATTGCTTTCTTCTCATTCCATTTCTTATTTACACTTTTCCCCTCTTCTCTTCTCAGGTCTACTCTCTCCAAATATGTATCTTCTTTTAATTTTGCTACTTCCATTTTTTATTCAGTGATCTTATGTATGTGTGATCTATTTGAGGTTTATAATTTTCAGATAACTTCAGCACACAATATGTTTGTGGTTTTTAACTTGAATTGTTAGATTTTTTGTAGCATACAGCCTATCTGAGATTTAAATATCTCAATATTTTTGTTGTTGTTTCACATGGACCTTTTATATTTTATTAGGTTGAAAAGTTTAAAAGCCAGGACACAACTGGCCTAACTTAAAAACGTCAGTGCACTAATCACTTATCATTTTTAATTTATTAGCAATGGTGAAAAGAGTAATAGCACAAAGTGGGTCAGCTGTTGCTGACTGGGCTGTTATTTTAGACCCTCTACACATGATCAATAATTCACATATACTTGGTGAAGCACTTGGCTGCCCCACAGAATCTTCTTGGAAACTTGTGGACTGTGTACGAAGTCGGAGTGTCCCTGATCTTGCCATCACAAATATCAAGGTTTGCTATTCTATAAATACTCTTTTAGCCAAGATTTGAAATTAAATTCAAGTATCTACAAACCAATGCCCATTTATTTGTTTTGATTTCTGTGCACAAAAAACACCAAATATTTGAGTCTTATATGTATATAATTTTTATAATTGTTTATTTACCCTTCAGTTTTCAACAGATCCTAAGGGGCATACTTACATGAAAAGTTTCAGGAAATATGTAATTTCTGTTATGCTTGATGTGAAAAAACACAAATATCAGGAAAATCAAAGAATTAAAGTCTAACGAAACTTGTCAAATACTTCCATGAAATAAAATGATAATTTTGCAAAGATTTAAAGAGTGCACTTTAACATGGAAGACAGCAGTACTTGAATAATGTTTGAATTAGTGAATTATTAGTGTTTGAAAATAATTGCAACTTCAACTCTAGCCACTTTGGGAACTACACCAATGGCTGGGTGTAAAAGATACCTTAAAAAAATACCTCAAAGCCTTATGTACAAGGTGAAATTAGATATTGACTTTCAGTGTAAGTGTAAAATAGGTTTATCATAAATTGGATAACATGATATTACTGTTCGAGCAGTTATTCACCTGGCTGTGCAAATTGAGCTGTATCCTTGAAATTTTAATATTTATTTCTTCATTAAAGCAGCCCTCCAGTGGAACAGTGGTATGTCTGTGGACTTACAATGCTAGAAACCAGGTTTTGATACCCGTGGTGGGCAGAGCACAGATAGCCCATTGTGTAGCTTTGTGCTTAACTTCAAACAAACAAATCATTAAGGCAAATTTATCAAAATTATTAAACAATGCCAAATACACTTCTCATAATAATTAAAAAATAATTAGATTTTACTAAATAATGTCAATTGTATTCCTCAGTTCATTTCATTTTTTTAGACAAATATGTATGAAGTTATCAGTCATGTGATGTAGTATGAAGGAAACACAGTGTGTTCTCAACAGTCTTAGTAACAGTAAGATGTGTAAAGGAATCCACCTTAGTAGTAAAACATGTCAGAGCCTCAACTTAAACATTTGGGCATCTTCATGATATAGAGATCAGTAATTTGGCTAGAAGATGGTCAAACACAACAAGTTGTTTCACAGTCACTACAAATTTCACAAAGTGTTATTAGCAGATTATGTACCTGCTTTGAGACTCCCACAACCTGGACAGCAATCTGTCTGCAATCTTACAATACAACAACTATTTGGCATCATAGGCTAGGTGCAACAAGTGTGATATAGCTTCATAATTGAATTAGCAGTTCAGAACAGCAACTGGATGACAACTCATCATGCATATGGATAGAAACAGAATTCATAAGGTTGGCCTTTATACTAGATGACCAATCATGTGCATTCCTCTAACCTTTCACTAGAAAATAGCCTTATTTCAATAATGTGAAGAACATGTGGATTATTCAAATGACATAGGTAAATGTCTTGTTCACATTTGAATTGTACTTCACACTGCAGTCAGATATGGATACATGTATGCATGTGTAAGTGCAGTTGTTCAGAACTTTATTGTAATGGATGATAATGCACACCATCACTGTCATCATCTGGTCAGCAACTTCCTGGAAGAAGAGGGCATTGAGCAAACCAGCATGCTCACCAGGGCCAAAGTCAATTGAGCATGAATCAGATGCTCTTGCAGCACATGATCTGCCTCCAAACAGTTTTCTCGAAGTGTGAGTCCTATTATTCTAGCAGCTAATTGGTTCATTCTCTTCAAGTGTGCAACATTAATGTAGATTTGCATTAGTATCTGAGACTGCAAGTTCTCAAATGCACATTTGTGGATATGAACCTCAGTATTATACATTTGCTTATCAAATCACATAACTGGTTCACTTGACACTTGTTTTGCATAAAAGTCATATCTGGAGTGTAACTCACATCATCAAATAACTAATTGTGACATATCTAGCTAGAGTTTGAAAAAGCAAACAAACTGATTCTATGTTTTTTGGTAGTGTATAGTGTATTAGGCTAGATACCTGATAGTGGATCCTGTATATTTCTTTGGACTTAAAAATATATTTTAGTTCTTTATCTTTGGAAGCTACACCCTTGAAACAAAAAATGACAAGTAAAGAAAAAACTTCTGAAAAAAAAAAAGGAAGTAAATGTAAAGATGGCTGACGTAAATCCTTCAAAAACTATGCAAATAAGATAGCAGGGATGACATTTGCATCATCCCTACATAACAGCATAGGCACACAGTATAATAGAACATCAACAGACACAAATAGGATATATTATACACATTGTGATTTAATAATTATATATATTGCTATATGTTAATTCTTGCCTATACTATTATGTAGGGATGATGCAAATGCCATCCATACTATCTTCTTTGCATTGTTTTTGAAGGATTGATATTATCCATCTGTTGGTGCAGACTATATTTCCAATGTCAGGTTTTATATAGGCCATATTCTTTACAGTAAGTGTCTGTGACTTGTTGGTGATAAATTTCAATATGAAATGGATAGCACACAATCCACTTGTTTTAAAATAATATATTCAAAACAAGTCAAGAGTATGTACAAAAATTCGTTACTATATTGGTTATCACAGTTGTATCCACAGTTTTAAATAATTGTCTCTTTTTTCAAAGTCCATACAAGCAGGTTCATTTACTTTAGAATACCCTTTGACAAAACAAATTATTCTCTTCTGTCTCTGTTGTTACAATACAAACTGTGAAACTCACTTTAGAAATCGCATGTTATGGCTAAACTGACATGCAGCCTAACTTCACTTTCACTAACTTATTTTCTTACTTGGTCACCTATATATATATATTACCCAACTGAGGCCAAGAACTTTCTACAAACTATGAAAGGTTATGATGTAACAGTACTCACTTAAAGCAACGAGAAAAACTTAGAAGGTTTGAGTAATGTAACATCAATTCACAAAAACTGAACTACACAACAAATGATTCATAAACAGTTAAGTAGGCAAACCTGCAATAAATTATCACTTCTAAAATACTAAATTTAATACTCACACTTTATAACCATCTAAATCATATCTCATGTATTTAATGCAAATGAAACAGTTGTGTATATCTAATCCCATCCCTACATTTACTTCCTTTTTTTTAAATGTTTTTCCTTTACTTGTTTGTTTTGTTTTAATGCACTTCTCAATAGACATAGGAAGGTTGTATTTATAACCAAGTTCTAAATACAATGAGATTCCAACTGTAATATTTATTGTTTATCTATTATTCACTGGTAATTTCTGTTTCAACTTGTACTTGTGCTTTTTAAAAGAACACCAAGTTTCTGTAAGAAAGCTAATTTCATGGGGTAATGATAATATTGTTTACACTAGAATTATGATTTTTTAAAAATTACTTCTAGTTATTAATAATACTTATAAAAGCGGATACTCCATTTGAAACTATATCCCCTCAGTAAATTGGTTGACACCATTGTTTTGATTTTTTGGTTATCATGTAATTAAAAAAAGCAGAAGAAAGAACAAGAAATTCAAACTTTTTGCTATTTATGGTATTTACAGACATTCACAGAACTTGTGACTCAGCCATTATACAGATATTTTTATAAAAGGAAACACTGTATAGTATTATAAAACTCTGATGACCTATTGAGTTGATATTTAAAGTACCATTTCGAGGGAACAATCCAAGCCATCCATACATAGGCAGTGCTAACATCTGCCTCAAAATATGTTTTAAAACACATTTACATCATCATCATCTTAAAACACTAGTCAACATTTTCTTGATGTTTGTGTGGCATGATTTCAACCATTAGCTTTTTTAGAGTGAAAAATGTTTAAATTGCGAGGTCTCGGCTTTGCTCAAATATTCATGAATATGTTAAGGAGAAAAATAACACTGAATTTATCTTATTGCAAAATAGTTTCGAATTTCTAACATGTTTGTGTTTTGAAATGGTCTTGTTTTATAAAGGTTTGAGTAAATTATATTAAAATGATTTTCAATATATGAATCACCAATCACATGACAACTACAGTCAATACATTAAAGTTGTGGTGGAACAGATTGTACCAGAACTATATTTTGACATTGTTTAATGTTTCATAGGTGGTGTGATTGAACATTTATCACTTGTGGGAGGTATGTAACAGTTCTTTCCATGTAAAATATCCTTACATTTAGATCATAAAATATGTTTAGATCAGAGACTTAGAATTTCCAAGATGGCATAGCTCTTGTACTTAATGGAAAAGAACATGGGAACCGGGACCATCCAGAAAGAGACCTGCAACAATTTATGACCTAGCCATGATGAGCAAAGTATGTTCAAGACAAGGACCAGAGGCAGAATTTTGTAGTTTTTAGGTACTTGCAAAATGTCTCCACTCCCAAACTGAACTTAAAAGTATTGTTTGTTATCTAATTCTCAAGATAAAGGGAAGATGGAGACAAAAGCTAGCTAATAACATGTTATGTGATGTGTATAATAATAGAATTCATAAGAGGATATTGTACTATATTATTTATAGAAAAGCAGTTTTATGCAATAAATTCACCCTAACATTTTCAAAACACAAAGTACTCACATATAAAATTCCTTATAATTGTTTTCTGGGCTACCCCTTTTTGAAATTATTGTATACACAGGCATACGATGCACATACATTGCTACACTACTTGTCTGAAGCAACAGTACACAACAGAATAATGAAGGATCTCTGCCTGGAAATGTGATACAAGTCATATATACAAAAGTTGTTTCCAGGGCATATCCATCCCATTCAATCATCATATACCTCAAGCAGCTGGAGAATGAAACAGGTATTCATGTTATTCCTTATGAAAACATATCATCCAAGCAGCTAGATGCAGCACCTGTGTATTTCTGTTTTATTATACTGTTAAACTGGGTGCTGGGAAACTCTCAACCTTGTACACTAGGATGATTAAAGAAAACTTGCAGTGAGATGTGTTATACTTTAGACATGACAGCTGTATGATAGAGTCTTTTGTGATCGGAACTATGCTGCAGGGCTATTGTCAAGATGTATGGTTGTCAGATAGAATGTGACTGGATGTGGTGATATATACTGTAATGACATGGTGAATCTCCAAAGTCATTTTAATATAATGTACTCAACCTCTGTAATATATACTTAGTATTTGAATTTTTAGTATTTAAAACTACAGATACATTCTTGTGACTGAAAAGTAAAAAAAAGTGTTATCAATATAACCCTTATAATATTTTGTACAATACTTTTCATACTGATTTATATATATTAGCTATAATAGGGCATGTATGTTTGTATCCCATAACAAATTCTCCTTGATTGCCTTTTGTTTGTTTTTTTTGCTTTAGCAGTGGAATGATTTTTGGTTAAATATGACCATTAACTCTATTTGGTTTATTATGAACAAAATAGTATTCTTACTGAAATTGATAAAGATTGATGTTTTTCAATTTATCATCTTTATTTCTAAAGTTGTAATTTTAAAAGGATAATGATGTGAATGGTTATATTTTCTAATTTTATCAAATGAAACATTATTGTAAGGAAGTAAAATAATTTAAACATCAGCTCTACTCCTGGTACTAAAGCTGAGTACATGGAAAGTGGTTGTAGGACAAAGGTTCCTGGACAACTGCTCTCATAGGAAAATTGCCCCCTGGATAACTGCCCCACACAGTCATATCTTCTTATATTAATATAACTGATAAAATGGAAAAATAACCCATATCTCTTATATTTTATAGAAAAAGTAATTACGTAAAACTGTTTAATCCCCTTACTCCAGCTATCCTTTACTGTGCATTACATGAGGTTTGAATGACAAGAATCAACTGCCAGGATAATAAAACATTGTAGAAGATTTTCAAAACTGCAATTTGTTGGACGTTTTGAGAGAAATAACTCATAACTTAAAGCTCTAGTGTTCTTACATTATATAGCTTTGCATAGTTCAACATATTTATTTTATTAAAATAAACAAAATTTAACATGAAACCTGTGTTCTTTTATCCTTCTTAAACAGTTTTATATAATTCATTCTTCTATGAAATGCAAGAAATATGCATTTTTTTCCTATTTTAGTTAGTTTTATTAATATAATAAGATATGGCTGCAGGGGGCAGTTGTCCTAGGGGCAATTTTCCTACAGGGGCAGTTATCAGGTTACCATGGATAGCATACCTGATGTATAAGAAATACTTAGCTTACCTTTTTTCTTGAAACTATAAGCTTGTTCCTTTTTTAATATTTCATTAATACTGACTGAACTGAAGCAGAAACAGTTTTTATTTGTAAAACAAATTTTTAAAGTCTGTAAAATAAATCATTTGGATTGAACAATAGTTACATGTAAATAACTTGTTTTATATATATATATGTGTGTGTGTGTTTTGTAGCTACTATTCTTTATTACATATGGTTACTTTCTTGCAGCCAAAGGTTGGCCGTTTATCTTGGGGGCCTGTTATTGATAGGTACACTAGGAATTATGACCAGTGGTTCCTTCCTGACCCACCAGAGCTTCTACTACAGGATGATAATTTCAAATTCCCTGCTGACTTTAGTTACATGGGGGGTGTAACAAGAGATGAAGCATCAGCTTTTTTGGGTAATGCTATTCATATGTATTCTTTTAACAATTAAAAAAAGTATTATTTTTATAATTAAGGAAAACCGTAAAATGACTATATGACTTGTTTGATTGAGCTGCAGCCCCAATCTCTTAATCAGAAGACTATGGATACTGCATGTGTCACTAGCTCTAGCTAATATCTTAATGGACAATTATGATACACTCACTTATGCTATGTTATAATGCACTGTATTTTTCTGTTACCTTCAAATGTTCTGTCTATATTCCTGTACTCATCTTGTGGAAGAACAAAAGTAGTGTGATAAACAACAGGATTATCTCCTTAAGTCTGAAAAATAAAGTTGCTACCTACATTCAGGTTTTTGTAAGTCAAGTTACAGAATTGATTTCCATTTCCAGAGCTTGTTTACTGGTATAAGATGACATTATATATTATGAAAATTTTGGAATATTTCTTTTCAGCTGTTTAGGAATGTTCTTTGCATTAAGATCATTTATGTTGCTATTGGTAACACCACTAGGCAAGCCATCTTTTTCTAAAACCTAGTTATTGTCTAATTTATTATGTTAAAGTTCATATTATTACTTTATAAGCATGGAATATGGGTATTGCTCTCTGTACATGCAGGTAAGGTTTCAAAGTCAGAAAGTTAGGGTCTGAATACTTTGTTTACTGTTTTTATCATTTTGATTAATCATTTTATTTTTTAGTATTATTTCTCTTCTTTAACTTTCACTTAATGTTTTTCAAACAATCTGTCATATTTGTTTTAATTTATTACCTTCTTGTAATAATCAAAACCTTATAGATTTATACGTGTTTCTTTTGTGACTTCCTGTTCTTGATGAAAACAAAGACAATTATAACAAATTATTTCTTTACTTTTCAGTATTTTCCTGAGTGAATTTTCATTTTTCTAATACATAGAAGGTTTTACAAACATAATCAGGATAGGTTTCATCTTCAGTTAAAACATTTTTATTTTTCTAATAATGTAGTTGGCCTTTAGAATGGATTGCCTTAAGGTAAGGTTGAAGCAGTAAATTTAAGAGTTGAAGGAAATATTTGAATGATACAGATTGGCTGTAAGGTTTTTGTTGTATAATGTTAAATTTAGATCTTTTTTTTTGGAAATCATCATATTAAAAGTTTATGTTCTGATGTGTCTACAAATACCATCTGATGATCATGTTGATGTTCTATTATATGATTGATGGTAATATTTTACTGTTAAGATATTTTAGAAACAAAACACAAACACAAAAAAAAGGTAAAATAACATGATAACAAAGAGACTTGATGGGTGTACAGTCCGTTATTCGTTGATTTTAATATTTGTTAACAACCTTAGCTCCCCTTGGTCTAACTTTATACACTCTACTTTATATTGTTAAGCTGGAAATGGGATTCCCTGGTGGCAAAATTCATGATTATCAAAATCAAGTATTTAAGAAACCTCATATTATTATATACTTACTGATATTTTATTCATGTTGTCTTCAAGAGGTACAGTACTCATCAAAGACTCATATAAGACTCATCAAAACTGTATTTCGTTTGAAAATTCAAATCTATTTCTAATTTGTAAATGCTTAATATTAGAAAACAAACTTGACAAATGTAGTACCAGCACTGAGCAGTATAAGAACATCATAAAAAATACCTAGAGGAAAAGGAGATGGTCTTACACTATTGCTTTCATGAATATTTATGTTCAGTAAATACCATCTCAATTTATTTTGTTTGTTAAAAAAGTAAATATGATACTTTACCATGGAGTATATTTATTATTTCTTTTGGAGAAAAATGTTTTGAAGAATACACTTAAGATCATAATTGTATTTTGACTTATAGTAACAATAACCAAAAACTAATTCCATATAGATATCAATATGAAAAAAAAAGGAATTCTAAAAACTTACAAAAACAAACACTTCTATAAATATATAATGTTATGAAGAAAACTGACTTTGTATTAAATATGTTATGCCTTTTAGAATAGTTTCTGTTATTTTAATATACAAAACTACACTGCATCACTTCTTTATCAGGCTTAGTTATCACAGTACTATTATTTTGGTTAGAAGACCAAGGTTATAGCTCAGACTTATGTAATTAGTTTAATGTTCAAAAGGAGATACATTGATAAGTAAAAGTTTACATTTATCTTATCAGGAAAACATTTTCTTAATTGTCTAACAAGAATAAAAGTTCATTAGTATTGTAATAAGGTACAGTTCAGATCAGTAGTTATGTTTGTAGGTAAAACATTTTGTAATTTTTAGTTGTTTAAACATTTAACATTCATATGGCTATGTAAAATGTGTAATAGTGTTGTAAGATAAATGTTAAAATTACAGTAAAAATTAGCTCAGCCAGCTGGAAAAGAGGATTAATTGTTTTGTTTGACATTTAAATTTCCTATAATATAACCTAAAAGTCACTTTTTTTATAAAATTTTAAAATAAACTGTATGTAAAAGCTGAATCTTTAAAATTGTTGCATGTTATACATGTATTGCCTTTTGCAGCTGTAAGTAGTCAGATGATACACTTTTTTATTCTAAATTTAAACTTCCTGTACCTTAAAATTTTTATTAACTGTTCTGCACATTGTTTTATAAAAAGAGCTTGTAGAGCTTAAGTGGTTATTTGTGAGACACTTAACTATTTAAGTCCTTGCAAATGTTGAAAAAATAAATATGATGCTTTACCATGGAGTATATTTATTATCTCTTTTGGAGAAAAATGTTTTGAAGATTATACTGAAGATTTTAATTGTATTCTGACTTATAGTAACAATAATCAAAAACTAATTCCATATAGACATCAATATGAAAAAAAGGAATTCTAAAATCTTACAAAAACAAACACCTCTATAAATGTATAATGTTATGAATAAAACAGACTGTGTATTAAAATGTATTTTTTTATAAACTTGTTTCTCTTTTCTTCTAGTCAATGACAAAGATTTAATACATCGTAACTATGAAATAACACAGAAGGTGTTTCAAGAAAGGATTCAAGAATATGGAAAGATGTTTAATTATACACTTAATCCAGAAGCTGTCTATAATGCTCTCTCTTTCATGTATACTCCATGGATGGATCCCGAAAATAACACTCTCCTTCGTGAGAGATATATTGATGTAAGTCTTTATGCTACTCCTCCATAGTTCTTTTGATGTGACTTAGATCTTATCCACATAGTATTAGAGTTTTCAATAAGATTTACATTGATAATTGAATGTTTAAAATTTTTAAATTGTTTTGTGTAATTTTTTGCAACAAACTTATTATACTAAATTTTATTTTACGATTTTTATAAACATTCTATATTTATTACTTAATTAAACTGATAAATCAAAGGATGTTCAAAATAATTTTAAAAATAGTATGATATGCTAGCAATTTAATTAAATTTGTTGTTTGATATAAGAGAAAATTCTAGATTATTGTACATCAAATGAATTAGAAAAAAATCTGTGTCAATGAACATTTAGAAAACATGTAGCTCTATCTGGCTCTGTTCCTGAGAAACAGTTCACAACTGCTTATCAAGCTTTCCTATATTTGTCATTGGTTTAACTCATCTTTTCAATACTGTGATTATTCAGTAAAGTCAACAACATATTGATAATTTGCCAACTCTAGACAGAATTGGCTAATTATTATTTTTTAATTGTTTAATTGGTTCTTAGTGGCCCAAGAGGAACAAATAGTTTGATGAGAGGTTACAAATAACAACGTACTTAAAAAACTACAGGAAACAATAGATCATTTTATCTTAAACATTAAATAAGCAACATAATTATGCCTCATTTCTTCATAAAGACAAGATAATATGAATATTTTAATTCAATTATTTGTTATTGTTATAAAATTGTGATGTGTATGTGAACTCTTTCAATCAGATGGTAAGCTCATTTTATCTCTAGAGAAAAATGTATATTTTCAAGATTTAAAAAGAATTGTGTTTCTAAAAACATTGCAAACAGATGTCAAAATGCTAAAAATATGATGTCAATCTGTAAAGACATATAATTTTAAATTTATGGACTAATAATGAATAATATAAAAAATATTTCAATGTTTGATTATAATTCAAAATTGTATGTTCTTTTATTGCTGTAGAGCTACAAGTATATATGATAAAACCTGTATTTGTTAATCATTTAATATGAATGTATCCTTCTTTTAGTATTAGGAAATATAATAATACATATACATATATATATGTAAATGTATCTATTAACTTATATATCTAGTTTTGTAATTAATGAGTTAGCTAAAGAAGTTTATTGTAATAATATTCCTATTCTGTTTATTGTAGTGACATATAAGTAAGGTAGATGTTGAAATGATAAAAAATTTATAACGACATTAATATTATAACAATTTTTATTATAGTTAGTATGATTCTTGTACTTAAGATTAACTTCATTATTAATATGTTTAAGAATGTACCATGAGATTAGACTGTTAAACTAAATTATGGGACTATATTTTAAATGAGAGTTTTGTATTTTTATACTATAGGAACTTGCATTAGTTAACAGCATAAGTAAATATAGATTATCTTAATTATGGAAAGACTAGATTTAAATAGCTTAATGAACTAGTATCTCTGTATTGACTATTTAAAGTTTAATGTTTAAAGTGGTAAATGCTATTTTTATAGTCATGTATAATTTTAGATGCAAAAAGGTTTTTATATAATGTTAATTACATTATTGCTAAGTATTAGATGACATGATGTTGTACTTCTTTTAAAAAGTTATTAATCATTAAGCTTTTTTAGAGCTTTAAACACTTTTGTTTTGATGGTTTCTATGTGAATAGTCTAACCAAATGGTCTTTTATGTAGTTTTTATTCACCACAGTGAACTGTTATTTATAATGTATAATATACAATCCACCACTGTATGAAGCCTAGTCTTGTTCTTTGTCCTTGTCCAGAGTTACTGATGAAGGGTGGAATTCCTTGAAACAGGTATATTCAATGGCAAGTGGTGATTCGAATAATAGGTTGGGCTTCATATTTATTTTTATATCTCACAGTAGTTACACAATCGTTATATATAATATTGTTGTACAGTTACTTGATGGGAGTTATGTATTGGGTATGTAAATCTGTAGTGACAGATTTGGCCAAAAATAACCAGCATGGAAAAAGTTTCTAAAAAAATAAACAAAAAAGGAATTTATTCATTTGGTGCTTTTTGTTTAATTCCACAAACCTACTACTGATAATGATTGCACATGTATTGGAAAAGTCGGAAATTTTCAGTATTGAAAAACTTTTCTTCTTTCAGTTATGTGTTAGCAGTGAGTCCAAAGTTATAGACTAAAGCAATTAGTTGATATAGAACCACTAGGTAAATTTGATTTTACTCCTTAGCCAAAGCTAATGTGATTGATTTCATTACATTTAAATCTAGCATTCTTAAAGGATGGACATGTAATCTTCTGGGTTGATAAACTAGGAAATTTACTGAGAGCTGAATAGTTTTTCCGCTTGATGATTTTTATTAAGTATCACTTCTAACATATTTTGTATAGGATAAGTTAACTAGCTTGCTTTCAAGGAAAGAAAACAGACAAGTTAGCTTTCTAGCTCCTGAAGCTAGAACTGGTTGTTAGCAGAGTCTTAATTCTTGTTCCAGACTAATTGTTTTGAGTCCTGCATCATGTAAATAAACAGTGTTCATGTAATGAAAGATTAAGAATAATTTTAATTATTTATTTTCAGATTAAACACAATTTGCAGTCCTTATCAAACATGTTTTAGACTCAAATAGAAAGCAAATACAAATATATGAAAATGTCCCTTAATAAAATCCATTAGATGAACAACATTCATATAACACAATGCAATATATATAATATATGAACTTAAAAGTTTGTCATGGTAAATAATACTTATTTTTGAAAAACTGTTTTATCAGGAGTATCAAATCAAAATAGTTTATACTACAGTAACTGTTTGGCTTAATGGTCTTTGAAATAGAGACATTTCAGAAACATTACTTACCTAGCTGCACCACTAAGAGCTATTACCTCATGTGCAACTGATGTAAAATTTCTTGTGCAATCCACAAGCCTTGAACAAACTCCTACACCTTCATGTTTCAACATGTATTACACCAAACCATGATGTAATTGTCATAATGCTGTAGCCCTCTGCCAACAGGAAAGTGACACAAACTTCATACAACCTCCATGCACAGTAATCCCCGAGAGCACTAGCACATGATCATAGTCTCATACTTTCCTTGGGACTGCTTGTGTTCAGACATGATATTTCCTGCACCTTTTAAGTTCCCTGTCACTCTGATTGACTGTCTTTCTTTATTTAATGTTATGTTACCTTTGTCCTCATTATTACATTTTTGTTACATCCATCCAATTGCAATTTCATTTCTTTCTTTCTACTAATATAAATATAATAATACTAACAAATTTGCTCATGGATTGCCAATTTATTGTGAATTTTCAAATACATGTTGATTCTACATTTTGAGGACCAGATGTTCCTCTTGAGCAATCTTGTACACCTGTATAAATGGTAGTTGGAAGCACATTATCTGTTCATAATGTTACTGCTATAGTGCATCAAATGGTTGGTTGCCTTCTCCCTACTTCTCCACTTCAGGCCCTTCATCAGTCTGTTTCCTTGTCTTCTGTGGAACCTATCTTGCCTGTGGATGATTTGGACCAGTTTTTCCACCTACCTTCTCATCTGATTCTTTTCTCACTGATGAGGAACAGGTACTTCCTTCATTTCTTTTTTGATATGCTCATAATTCTAGTATGTGGCTTTCTATCTCTTTTGCTGGTATATCATAATGACACTTCATTGCTCTACTTCTTGGGCTTCCTTCTGTCCCAACTCCACAATGATCAATGTCTTCCTTGCTCTACTCCTCTTTTTGGCTCACTTTTTCAATGCACAGAAGAAATGTTGGAAACTTTGCCTGAATGCGAGAGACACAAACGTGAAACCTTGATTCGTGTTTGAGGAATTTTTCCCGCAGTGACCGCCACAAAACCAGACATGTTTGTT